CGCACACACGCACGCACGCACGCACACACATACGCATGCACACACACACACACACACACACACACACACACACACACACACACACACACACACACATGTTTCTAACCTCTCTACCTGTTCATCTCTCTAACCACGAGTAGCACGCGTAGAGACGCTGTTTCAACCGATATTATATGTAGATTATGTTCTATTATATATACATATACTAGCTGCGGGTACCCGCTGCGCTGGGTAAAATCGTGCTACTAATTCATACTACTAATAATCGGACACAATAGGAACATTGGATAATAATGGAGAATAACACTGCACACAATATCAATATTTACAAATCAGTCTAATAAGATAATAAGCATGGTAAAAAACGGTTACGTATTTATATAACAGCACAACCCAACTTAGAACCCCTGGAACATAATAGTAATATGGTGTAAATGACAAAAAGTTATTATAACAGCATGTACGAATGGGTTGCACTTTTCATTTCAAAGCCTCTTGATAAACAATATTTTTCATCTTATTCTCTGGTGCAAATATGTAGAGATTGCTGGCGTCTCCAACTCTTGAACTCCCCATGTACAGCTGTCCGTGGGAGAAGCAGGACTGTCCGAGGTGCAGACCGACGACAGACAGCGTCTGGCCCTGAGCTTTGTTGATGCTCATGGCAAAGCTTAGTTTGATGGGGAATTGTAGGCGCTTGAACTGGAATGGCACGTCTGTGGGGATGATGGGAATGCGAGGAATAAAGACCTCTTCCCCAGCAGCACATCCTGTAATGATGGTGGCCTCGATGACGTGAGGCATGAGGTTTTTGGCGACCAACCGGGTGCCATTGCACAGCTTTGGAGCGTCTAAATTTCGCAGGAGCAGAAATGGGGCTCCGACCTTGAGTTCGAGGCGATGATGTGGGACACCAGCTGGCTCCATAGAGTTGAGAACCTCAATTGGGTAGTTTGCAATGTCGTCTTGTTGAACCATGGTGTCGATGGACTTGTATACTTGCATGGCACCAGGTACGGCTTTGAGCAGCTGAGCATTGACAGTGTTTACGGTATCGTTCTTTGGTGCGAGAATGGCTCTCTCGCACAACCATCTGTGGCTCGTGTAATGGTCGGCGAGGTTCGGAAATACGCACTCCAGGTCGTGAACTGATGCAACACATTGACTGAATGGAGAGACGGGTATCGTGCCTTCATCGTCCAGGGGAATCGTGCCATCACCAAGCCGAAGTAGATGTGCTGCAAACTGTCCTTGCGTTGGCTCGCCTAGAAGGTGAGGCCGCATGTTGGTGGACAGCACCAGCTGCCGCACGCTGCTCCAGATATATGACGACTTGATGCATGCTTTTAGTTCATCAGCACGTGTGCCTCTGGGAATGACGGGAAGGGTCTGGCGGAAGTCACCTGACATTACGAACGTAATGCCTCCCATGATCTTGCCATTGCCGCGGATGTCACGCAGGGTTCGGTCGACGGCTTCAAAGGCAGCCTTGTGCGACATTGTGCACTCATCCCACACAATTAGGTGTACCAGTTGGAGGAGCTTCGCCGCATCGCTGCCCTTGGATATGTTACAGGTGGGTGTGTCGTTTTGTGCCAAGTTTAGTGGCAGCTTGAATGTTGAATGTGCTGTACGACCCCCTTGAAGTAGTGTAGCTGCGATGCCAGAGGATGCGACAGCAAGGCAAATCTTTTTCTGTGCTCTGATCTTTGCCAACAGAAGACTGGTGACGAAGGTCTTTCCAGTTCCCCCTGGAGCGTTGAGGAAGAATATTCCGCCTTTTTCAGTAGTGATGCTTTGGACGATGGTGTTGTACGCATCTCTCTGATCAGGTAGTAGTTTAGGCTCGTTGATGGTAACATATTCCTGCAGGGAAGGGATGTTGTATGATGTTTCCCTGAGAACTTCACGTGACATTGTGTCGGCTGCATTGACACGCTGTGGTTTTGGCAGACTGAAGCTGAGTAGGTCTTTGCCGCCCAGGGACATGAGCTTGTCCTCAATTGCGATAAGAGACATATTGAATATGTCATCAGTGAACCCGATATCCATACCAGGGAGTTGTAGCTGGGCATGGTACCTGAAGTCGGACGTCAAAGCTTCCCTGTGATTAAGCCACAGCTGGGTTGGGTCCGCCACACCACATGTGTGCAGCATGATGGCGAATAGATTGCGCAGCTTATATGGTGATTGCGATAGCGCAGCTTCAGTCATGGTGGCATCCCAGTGTGCGTCATCTTCCAGGAGGCCTCGCATGTTGCACGATTGGCGGTATGTGGCGCAAACGTAACCATCCACTGTACGGAGTGCTTGGAATGATGTCGGTCCCCGGACTTCGTGCAGGAGCATACGTAAGAAGAAACACTCCTCTTGGCTCGGGTGGATCGTGTATACTCTGCCAAGTGCACAATCCTTGCGTATACCCGGATATCCCTCGACAGAGTCCCCTCTCTTCCTGCGGGCCCACTTCTTGCTCCACGTATAGTATGCCGGCAACTCGTTATATAATAGCGTTCTGGCGAAGTCGTCCTCCTGACACAGCTTAAAGAATGCCGTGAGGGTGGTATCCTTTGGGAACTCGGCTTGTTGCTGTGCTGTGGCAGGCGTGAAATATACCCGCTGGCCGTTTTCCAGATGGACAGCAAGTTGTTGGACGGCTGGGTGGCGCTCATGGATGGGAAAGGCAAGAATGCGCCAAACTGCCTCATTGCTGCTGATGTATCGTCCCATTTCGTATTGGCTGACCTCATCGCGGTTGTTGGGCTGGATGCCAAACATCGCAGCATCAGACCCTTTATTTACATACTTGCAGATGTACTTGATCGACTTGATGGAGTTACAGAACTCGACATTGATGTGAGCATTGAACATCTTCGAGAGCAACGGACAGTAGGGGACGACCCATCTGTTGTCAACGTGAACCTGCTGTCGACCTATCCTGACCATAGCAGTGAGACCTCCATGAGCCGGCTTTCGTCTGCGGTACAGGGGATATCCATCACGTGCGGTCTGTGTCTCGCTGATCATGTTGCGGGGATACTTCTTTGTGCATTTGCCGTCTTTCATGCACGGAGCATTGGGATTCAGTGCACCACATGGTCCATGAATCATGTGGCTTTTGATGGTCGTGTGCAGCTGTGGGTCGTTGGTCGGATCTGGTAGTTCTGCTGAGATGAAAGAGTCCAGCTGGTTGGAATGTATTTTGTCACATAGCCAGATGAGAATGTGGACATGTGGTAGCCCCCTCTTCTGCCATTCGATGGTAAACATGTCGCACCTGACTTTGCCAAATAGTTGTCCGTTTTTGATGACATGCATAAACTTATTGACCTTTTGGTGAAAAACCCTGGCGATTAAGTCATGGCGGTCACTGGTGACCTGGCCATCAAATAGACTTTCCTTCAGCTCTGGGCAGTTTGTATTGCATGTAAAGGTGATGAATAAATCGGGGGTGCCATAGCAGCGGACATATGTCATGGCATCTTGAACACGCTCGTGCATGTATCGTGGGCC